TAGGATTGCCCATGGAAACAATACGGCTTGAGGAAATCCCGCTGTTTCGTGGCCAGTTCCCATAAACACAAGTTGAAAAATGGAACTCAGGGGCACTAAAATTCACAAAACTGCAGAGTTGAAAATATCTATCACTGAAAAATGTCTTGAGAAAAGTCACAGAAAAGGACTTGTAAGAAGGGAGAATGGCAGGAAAGGGATTTGAAGAGGTAGAAAGGACTCGCCATTAAGCACAAGAAAAGGGGCTGAACATTGCCAACACTGAAGTTGGCCAAAAAGGGTGTATGCGTTTTTTCTGAATATCTTCAAGAAAAGGGCATACACACTTTTTAGCCAACCAAACAGGTGGGCACTGGAAATCAATACTACAAAATGTATCACTTTGCATCAGTCAGAAGAGACATCCTCATAAATTGCAAACACCACAAATGCAGGACAGGGTGAGGAGAAAAGGGAGCCCTGTGAGGCTGATAGTGGAAATGTAAATTGCCAATGGCCACTCTGGAGAAGTGTATTGTGTTTACTAAAACATATAAAAAATGAGCTACAGAGCACAGGGCACTTGCATTCATGGGTGTATATCTTGGGAAAAACAAAAATCAACAGGACACAGGCACCCCAACATTTACCGCCTCTCTGTTTAAAAGAGCCTCGACTAGGATATAACCTAAATGTCCCTGGAAGGAAAAAATGGATAAAAGAGATGTGGTACTTATGTAGAGTGGAATATTACTCAGCCCGGAAATCAATGAAATAAGGCCAGTTGCAACAACTCCGGAGGAGTTACGAACGATCATTCTAAGGGACATAAGTCAAAAAGAAAAAGACACATATCATAAGATATCACTTAAAGGTGGAATCAAAAATGGCTACACATGAAATAAATTACAAAACAGAAATATAGTCAAATATGTAGAAAACACACATAAGTCTGCTAAAGGGGAAAGGTGGGGAGGGGTGAGGCATTATACAGGAGGTTGAAATTAGCAAAGATACCATTCCAAATACCAAATTGATAATCAACAAGGCCTACACAATAGGTCAAAGAACTGTACTCAGCACACTCAAGTCACCGGAAAAGAATATATACGACTGGTAAGAATCTGAAAAAGAATTTATTGATGTCTCTCTGTACGTGAATCAAGTGGACGTACAGCAGCAAGAAACAGGGCTTTGAAAATCAGCTGTAACCAATATAATAATAAATTTAAAAAAGTAAAAGACAGTGAGGAAGAGAAAAATTCTTACAACTTTTGCTCAGGGGCTGTGATGCAACATGGATTGAACACATCTAGACCCACAGCAGGATAAGACATAAGGCTGGAAATTGTTCATGCTAAGAGAATTAGTGAGGTTGGATGAGGAAATGCAGACCCTTTAAAGTAATACTGCCTGGTACCCATTCCATGGGTCCCAAATCTGCAGGTTCAAGGGAATCTTCCTACAGCTAAAACATGCATGGGAAACCCAGAGGACTGTACACCATGTGATCAGAAAACGTGTCTAAAATGCACCTCATTTTTCATCTCCTGGTGCTCGGGTTTGCCATTCCAGCCACGTTACTAAGAATCTCCCCACTTGGAGAATCAGTACCTTTAACCTCCTGTTAGGCACAGTTTGCAATTTGTGTGGAGGATGAATGGGAAAAGGGGGAACCAATGAGAGACTAGCTGTAGGGGGTTGGACAGGCACAAGTCACTCTAATTTCCCATCACAAAGAAGAATTAACCAAAGGTTCAGCCTGCCACCTGGGAATGAAAATAGGGCCTGAAGCAATCCTACGGTTTTGCAGCCAGCTCACAAAAAAGCGAGTTGAAAATCGGAACTGAGATGAACTGCAATTCAAAAACCTGCAGAGTTATAAAGGAAAACTATGGTACCCTAACACGTACGCTAACCCTAAAGCGTTGTGGAACCCTAACCTGTACCCTAAACCATACCCGTTCCCTAACCCTAACCCTAACCCTAACCCTAACTCTTACCCGAAGTCTTACCCTAACCCATACCCGAATGCTAACCCGTACACTAACACTAACCCGTACCCTAACACGTACGCTAACCCTAAAGCGTTGTGGAACCCTAACCTGTACCCTAAACCATACCCGTTCCCTAACCCTAACCCTAACCCTAACCCTAACTCTTACCCGAAGTCTTACCCTAACCCATACCCGAATGCTAACCCGTACACTAACACTAACCCGTACCCTAACACGTACGCTAACCCTAAACCGTTGTTGTACCCTAACCTGTACCCTAAACCGTACCCATTCCCTAACACTAACCCTAACCCTAACCCTAACCCGAAGCCTTAACCTAACCCGTACCCTAATCCTAAGCCGTACACTAACATTAACCCGTACCCTAACACGTACGCTAACCCTAAACCATTGTCGTACCCGAATCTGTACCCTAAACCGTCCCGTTCCTTAACCCTAATCCTAACCCTAAACCTAACCCTTACCCGAAGCCTCACCCTAACCCGTGCCCTAATCCTAACCCGTACACTAACACTAACCCATACCCTAACGCGTACGCTAACCCTAAACCGTTGTAGTACCCTAACCTGTACCCTAAACTGTCCCCGTTCCCTAAACCTAACCCTAACCGTAACCCTAACCCTAACCCTTACCCGGAGCCTTACCCTATCCCGTGCCCTAACCTAACCTGTACTCTAACACTAACCCGTACCGTAACACGTACGCTAACCCTAAACTGTTGTCGTATCCTAACCTGTACCCTAAACCGTCCCCGTTCCCTAACCCTAACCCAGCCCTAACCCTTACCCAAAGCCTTATCCTAACCCGTGCCCTAATCCTAACCCGTATACTACCACTAACCTGTACCCTAACACGTATGCTAACCCTAAACCATTGTCGTACCCTAACCTGTACCCTAAACCATCCCCCTTGCCTAACGCTAACCCTAACCCTAACCCTAACCCTTACCCAAAGCCTTACCCTAAACCGTGCCCTAATCCTAACCCGTACACTAAAACTAACCCATACCCTAACACGTACACTAACCCTAAACCGTTGTCGTACCCTAACCTGTACCCTAAACCGTCCCCATTCCCTAACCCTAACCCTAACCCTAATCCTAACCCATACACTAACACTAACCTGTACGCTAACACGTAGGCTAACCCTAAACCGTTGTCGTACCCTAACCTGTACCCTAAACCGTCCCCGTTCCCTAACCCTAACCCTTACCCGAAGCCTTACCCTAACCCTAACCCTAATCCTAACCCATACACTAACACTAACCTGTACGCTAACACGTAGGCTAACCCTAAACCGTTGTCGTACCCTAACCTGTACCCTAAACCGTCCCCATTCCCTAACCCTCACCCTAACCCTAACCCTAACCCTTACCCGAAGCCTTACCCTAACCCGTGCCCTAATCCTAATCCGTACACTAACACTAATCCGTACCCTAACACGCACGCTAACCCTAAACCATTGTTGTACCCTAACGTGTACCCTAAACCGTCCCTGTTGCCTAACCCTAACCTTAACCCTAACCCGAAGCTCTCCCCTAACCCGTGCCCTGGTCCTAAGCTGTACACTAAAACTAACCCATACTCTAACACGTACACTAACACTAAACCGTTGTCATACCCTAAGAGGTACCCTAAACCGTCCCCGTTCCCTAAACCTATCCCTAACCCTAAACCTAACCCTTACCCGAAGCCTTCCCCTAACCCTAAACCTAATCCTAACCTGTACACTAGCACTAACCCGTACCCTAACACAAACGCTGACCCTAAACTATTGCCGTAACCTAACCTGTACCCTAAACCGTCCCCGTTCCCTAACGCTAACCCTAACGCTAACCCAAACCCTAACCCTTACCTGAAGCCTTACCCTAACCCGTGCCCTGATCCTAACCCGTACACTCACACTAACCCATACCCTAACACGTACGCTAACCCTAAACTGTTGTTGTACACTAACCTGTACCCTAAACCGTTCCCTAACCCTAACCCTAACCCTAACACTTACCCAAAGCTTTACCCTAACCCGTGCCCTAATCCTAACCCGTACACTAAAACTAACCCATACCCTAACATGTACGCTAACACTAAACCGTTGTCGTACCCTAACCTGTACCTTAAACTGTCCCCGTTCCCTAACCTTAACCCTAACCCTAACCCTTACCCTAAGCTTTACCCTAACCCGTACCCTAATCCTAACCCATACACTAACACTAAAGCATACCCTAACACGTACCCTAACCCTAACGCGTTGTCTTGCCCTAACCTATACCCTGAACAGTACCCGTTCCCTAACCCTAACCCTAACCCTAACCCTAGCCCTAACACTAACCCTAACCCTAAGCCTTACCCTAAACCGTACCCTAATCCTAACCCGTACACTAACACTAACATGTACCCTCATCCTAACCTGTTGTCGTACCCTAACCTGTATCCTAAACCGTACCCGTTCCCTAAGCCTAAGCCTAACCCTAACCCTAACCCTTACCCTAAGCCTTCCCGTAAGCCATACCCTAATCCTAACCTGTACACTAACACTAACCCATACCCTAACATGTACTCTAACCCTAACCGAGTGTCGTACCCTAACCTGTACCATGAACCGTACCCGTTCCCTAACACTAACACTAACCCTAACCCTAATCCTTACCCTAAGCCTTACCCTAAACCGTACCGTAATCCTAACCCGTACACTAACACTAACCCATACCTTAACCCTAACACTAACCCGTACCCTTTCCCGTACCCGTACCCGTACCCTAACCCTAACCCTTGCGTAGTGGGAGCTCAAAGCTCTCTCCTCAGGTACAGCTGTGGTCTCTGAGGGAGGCAGAGCTGTGGTCTAGGAGATGCAGCTGTTGGGTCTTTTCCTCTGCCTGGTGATGGATCCCCAAGGTGAGTGTCTCAGGTTCAGGGCTGGTCTATGGGGATGATTGTGGCTGCAGGTGGCTAAGAGGGACTGATTCTCCTTGTTCTCAGGTGTCCTGTCTGATCTGACACTGTGGAGTCTTGCCCAGGACTGATGAAACCCTCACAGACCCTGTCCCTCACCTGTGCTGTCTCCGGGGGCTCTGTAACCAGCAGTTACTACTGGAATTGGATCTGCCCACGCCCTGGGGAAGGGTTGGAGTGGATGGGGTACTGGACAGGGAGTACAAGCTACAATCTGCTTTCCAAGGCCGAATCTCCATCACTGCTGACATGTCCAGGAACCATTTCTCCCTGAAGCTGAGTTCTGTGACCACCGAGGACACAGCCGTGTATTACTGTGCAAGAGACAGTGAGAGAAAGTCAGTGTGAGCCCAGACACAAACCTCTCTGCAGGGAGGCAGGAGGGGCTGGGCTGTAGGGGGAGCTCAGAGACTAGTCCCAGGAGCCGGTGCAGCGGGTGGCAGGGAAGGTGGTTTTGGTTGGGATCGAGAATTACCTCTCCACAACATTCAGCTGCCCCAAGGGACATTTCAAGTTTTTTCTGTCTCTGAATTCTCATATTCTCAGTGCAGCCAACAAACAAGAAAGTTACATTGTCTATTTGCAGATGGGATATCATCAGTCACTAGGGATCTGTCCATCAAGTTCCTATATCTTATTTATTTTTCTTGACAAAGAGAAAATCCAGAAGACTCTCAGCTTCCCTGTGATTCGAAAACATTTCCACAAAGGGAGGTACCAGCACATTTCATCAACTCTGTGTCCAAACCCAACTTCGACCCCCTCACGCACAGGTGGCCCACATATAGGACCTCCTGTCAGGCACATATGACGTCAGGGGGTTATGATCAGTGCACCCCCAGGACCTCTGTCCACAGGGTCTCTCTCCCCCCAGGATATGTTAACCTCCTGCTTCTGATTTACTGGGGTGGATGTTGAACCCACCCCAACATAACACTCTGCCTTCTACCTTTTAAATTCTCCCTCTACCTGTCCTAGATTCTGAGCACCGTGGGGTTAGGGTTAGGGTTAGGGTTAGGGTAGGGCTAGGGTTAGGGTTAAAAAAAAAGCACACAAGATCTCAGAAAACCAAGTAGTGTTTCCCTCTGTGAGGGGAATTTATGAGGTAAATCTCCATTTGAAAGGGTGTCTCCCTCTCTGTACCAGGAATAGGGTAACTGAATCTCAAGAAACTTTTACCTACGGAGAAGGTCTGGACTTAAATCTACATAACAAACATACCCTTGTTTACTATGCTCTGCCTGATGACCTCCTTTAACTGGCTTCCCCCCTCTCCCAACACCTTTTGTTTTTTTTTTTTTTTTTTTAAATAATACACAATGTATTTATTTATTTATTTATGGCTGTGTTGGGTCTTCATTTCTGTGCATGGGCTTTCTCTAGTTGTGGCAAGTGGGGGTCACTCTTCATCGCGGTGCGCAGGCCTCTCACTATCGCGGCCTCTGTTGTTGCGGAGCACAGGCTCCAGACGCGCAGGCTCAGTAATTGTGGCTCACGGGCCCAGTTGCTCCATGGCATGTGGGATTTTCCCAGACCAGGGCTCGAACCTGTGTTGTCTGCATTGGCAGGCAGATTCTCAACCACTGCGCCACCAGGGAAGCCCACACCTTTTGTTTTTTAACTGAAGATGGTATATAAGGGAGATTAGGTCATTTCCTGACTTAGTTTTCCTGGTGTTGACCTGAATGAAACAGACAGCCAGGTATTTCTCCAGCAAATATGGGTTTATTCTCACGATCGGGAGAAAATCACAACTTGGAGGTCTGCAACCACAGCAAGGCACATGAGCATCCCCATGAGTCAAGGGAAGGAAAACACCTCTGTAGAAAGGAAGAGGACCCTGGAAAGGCTATAGCAAACAGAGTACACAACTTCTTATTGGCTGAGTCCTTGAGTCCTGGCTCAGTCCTTTCCTGAGGCCAGGAAATGAGAGTCTTTCTTCTCGCTGTGGGGCTCCGCAATTGTGGTAACGCATGAGAGCTCTCCGTTCTGGTCTCCCCGTCCTATTTAATTGAGGTTTCTGCTTATTAATTTTTACAACACTAACCCCCAACTCTTAGCCCTTGGCCCAATCCCTAAACCCAAACCTAACTCCTAACCCTTAACTCTAGGCCCTAACCCCTAAGCTTATCCCTTCCCCACCATCCTAAACCCTCTCCCTAACTGCACCCTTCATGCCACCCTCCGTCCCTTTCCTGGACCGACTGGGCCAATGACATTTCTGAATCCTTCAGCATCTCCACCCTGCCTCTCCCCGCCACCCTACAGCCCCGCCTCCAGGGCTCAGGAGGCGACTGGGGTCATCCGCCCCTAGGTGAGCGGATATGTGCTCCCAGACCTAGAACGCTCAACAGTGTCTGCAGGACGTGCCCAGGCCGTCAGGAAGTCAGAGAGCCCGCGCTCTGCTGCACTTAGCTCACCTAAACGCCCTCCAAGACCTCCACGTGACCCCCGGGTACTCAAGCGGCTTCGCGCCCCTGCCTCAGCAACCAATCGGAAGTCAGGGACAACGAAGCCGGCCCAAGCCAGGCCTCCCCCATGGCCCCGCCCCCTCTCCACTGCCGTCCAATCGCTTCTGGCCGGCCGTCCTCCGCGCTTCCGCGCCGAGTTCTGCTGTCGGCGGCGGGGCGGCAGTTCCAGGGGCCTGCTTCCTGCGCCCATGGCATCCGCGAGCGTCGGGCTGGCTGAGCTGGGTTTTGTGGAGGCGGCGCCGGCGTGGCGGCTGCGCAGCGAGCAGTTCCCCAGCAAGGTGGGCGGCCGGCCGGCGTGGCTCGGCGCAGCCGGGCTGCCGGGGCCCGCGGGGCTGGCCTGCGCGCTGTGCGGCCGCCCACTGGCCTTTCTGCTGCAGCTGTACGCACCGCTTCCGGGCCGCGCCGACGCCTTCCACCGCGGTCTCTTCCTTTTCTGCTGCCGAACGCCACCGTGCTGCGCCGGCCTACGCGGTGAGCGGCCCGGGGCCCGGGTAGCGTGTGCGCGGTGGGCGGCCTGCGGCCTCGGTCGCGCGTGCGCTGCCTTGCTCGCGGTCAGGGCCCAGGAACCGTGCAGCCTCCTCTGCGACCCCGCCGCGGGCCTCTCCCCTGTACCCCGCGAGCGTTTCCGGGGGTGGGGGTGCGTTCCAAGGGCTCGCGCCTTCTTCGCCCCCAGCTTTTTGTTAATCAGTCGGTAGTAGGTGTTCAGATAATAGAACCTGTAATTATTCGGAAACCTGGGTTCCAACACGTTGCTCATATGTATGTAGTCTGACTTAATGTTACTTTTGTTACTAATTTGAACAAGCTCAGAGAGGCTTAGTTGTATGGACTTTAAAAAGTTTCTCGTTTTCACTCTTATTTTTTCTTCCTTTCCAGAAAATAAGCTTTTTGAAAGCAAAAACTTTCTTCTATTTTTCTTTTTAAAAAATGACTGTCTTTTCAGTCCTGTGTGGAGTGAAGGCTCAAATGTTTGAATTGTTATGTTGTTTTATTTAAAACATGTGTAACGTTTCTCCTTCTCTCTCCTTAGTTTTTAGAAATCAGTTGCCTAGGAGAAATGACTTCTACGCCTATGAGCCACCTTCTGAGGATCCTCCGCCGGAGACAGGAGAATCCGTGTGCCTCCAGCTCGAGTCCGGTGCTCATCTCTGCAGAGTTTGTGGCTGTTTAGGCCCCAAAACATGCTCCCGATGTCACAAGGCACATTACTGCAGCAAGGAGCATCAGACTCTGGACTGGAGATTGGGACATAAGCAGGCTTGTACACAAGAAGGTCAGTCAATTCTGTTTTTATTTTTAAATCTCAGCTCAGTTTCCTAGTGTCTGTCAGGCCAAATCTTTCATTTTGAGGATAAACGTTAACATTAGAAAAGGTGTAATACTTTTCAAAGCTTTGGTTAACTAGTGACATAAACACCTTTATGAAGAAGGAACTGTGAGGTCTTTGCCCACTCACGTCCCAGCCTAGCTTTGGTAGTCATTTAATTTATGAGCCATAATCTAAAATGCTGGAGCTACATATGTTAATTACTAGGGAAAACTGTTATGACATGGAATACACTTCAGATATAGGAAATTATTTGACCTTCCAAACTAAATGATTACTGATGCTAGTTACCTTACTTTGTTTCAGGTGATTTGGACAGTACAGTTCCAGACCACAGCTTCCTTTTTCCAGAATTTGAAATTGTAATAGAAACAGAAGATGAGATTATGCCTGAAGTTGTGGAAAAAGATGATGAATCAGAGATTATAGGTAGCATGGGTAAGGAATCAGTTTCAAAACTCATTCATTAAATATACACTACTATGTATAAAATAGATAACTAATGAGAACCTACTGTATAGCATAGGGAACTCAGTGCTCTGTGGTGAACGAAATAGGAAGGAAATCTATAAAAGGAGATATATGTATAAGAAAAAAAAGGAAAAAGGTGGGGGGAAGAATAGTGAATCTAGTTGAAGCAGAAAGTAGAGGGTCAAGTGTCCCAACATTCCAGCCTCAAGGGACATGTTGTCACCCATTTCAGGGGACACTGACGGCCTGCCGTGGAGACCTAGGGATTAGAGAACCAGTTTGGAGACACCCGTCTTAGATCATTGCTAAGACAAAAAACGTTTTTCTTTTTAACTAACATATGAGAAGATTCAGTGCCAGATGTTTAAAAGCACCTAGGGAGAGGGATGCTATGTTTCTTGGTGGGTAGTAGTGTTAGAGAGTGTGCTTTGGGGAAGAATTCACTGATGAAGGAGTCTGATAGAAAATTTCCAATAACTGGTGAGAGAGAACTCCCTGCATTGAGTGTCCAGTGAAATGAAACCGTGCTGTATCTAATCTGGACAGTGCATGCCATTGATCCACACTGTCTCTACTCCCTCAGACATGGGGCCAATAAAGTAATAAGCAATAGAAATGTAAAAAACAAAAGAAAAAACAAAACTCTTTCATTAAGTGATTAAATATAATGCTTGAAAGGAAGGGCTCAAAATGCCAAGAAGAGAAGCACTGATAGGAAAAGGCAACTCACTTGGGAGGCTGCAACCTATACTTTTCAAATATTGCCTCATTTGAAGGTATCCTTTCCCTCTTTGGCATATACAGGAACGTTCTGGTTCCTGTAAAGATGGCAGAGAAAGTATCCAGGTGGTCAGCTGGGTGGGGCTGCACAGGATGCTGGAAACTTGGAAAGTTTATCTGGCTCCAGGATTTGTTTCTCTGATTGAGATGGTGGACATGAGAGTGCCTAGCAGTGTTTGGTGGGCAGCAGGGGGCCGTTTTATCTGGCAAGTTTCAGATACTTGATTTCATCAGTTACCTCAAGGTTATCATACTCTGGAGCAGTGCCTGTGCTGAGACTGAGCCGTAGCCAAAATTTA